GAAGATTCATAACAAAACACCACAAAAATTATTCAGGAGTGCCATAGCACACAGAGCAGAGCAATGTAGAATTACTGTGCTGGAATGCCATCAAGGTTTTGATTAAGCAAAGCACTCTATCCTCTTTATTGTGGTATTTGACTTCAGATTGTTTATAAACAAAACTACAACCCACAATTCATGTCCATTCTATACATATTTAATGGATGCAGCAAAAGTCTACTGCAAGTTGGCAAAAGCAAGCCAACTAAAGGCTACGATGTTACCACAGGGCTGTATTTTAAGAGTGCAGATATGATTCATGTCAATTCTCATAGCGTTTTAACAAAGGGGATTAAAATGTGCAAGTGAGCCAAAATTAATTATGTGACAATTTTACCTCATCAGTATTTTGAGTGAGCTGATCATAATTTAAGGGGAAAGAGTACTTCATAGTCCAGGCTTAGAATATCACTCACTTGGCTTCCATTTTGCACTCAATTAAAATATAGTATTCATTTTAACTCTTGAAATATACAAGGAAAAATAGGTCACTTATAGGCGGATAGTACACATTATATACACCTCTACCCCGATATAACGCGACCCGATATAACACAAATTCGGATATAACGCGGTAAAGCAGCTGGGAGCCCCGGACCCTTTAAAGTGCCGCCCAAGCCCCGCTGCTTTACCGCGTTATATCTGAATTCATGTGGTTCCCGGGCCCTTAAATTGCTGCCTGAGCCAGGCCTCCGGCATCCGGGCTCAGGCAGTGATTTAAAGGGCCAGAGGCTCCGGATGCTGTGGGGAGTCCCGGGCCCCTTAAAGCGCCGCCCAAGCCCCGCTGCTGGAGCTCCGGTGGTGATTTAAAGGGCCCGGGGCTCCCCGCAGCGGCTGGAGCACCAGGCCCTTTAAATCACCGCTGGGGAACCCGGTCCAGTCTGGCACAGCGTACCGGCTCTTGCTGGTACACCATACCGAACCGGACCCGATATAGCATGGTCTCACCTATAAGGCAGTGAGATTTTTTGGCTCCCGAGGACCGTGTTATATTGGGGTAGAGGTGTACTTAAATTATTTTTAAAAATTCAGAAGTGTATCACTTTATTTAAAGAAATAAAGGCTATGTGGCTTCTGGAGAATGGTATAATCTGTTTAATAGATGTATTTGTAAAAAATATACAATATTAAGCCTGGACAAATATAAGATATCTCCAATTCTGTCAGGAGTTAAATAAGTTTAATATTAAAAAGCCATCCTACAAAGTATTCTTTTTTTTTTTAAACATGCACATTTCGTTTCCTTCTCTACAGAATATATGCAACCCTATTTCCTGGTTGCCATAAATATAAACAAGCAAACTTTGTATCAGAAATGTAATTAAAATAGGAGAACTAGAGACTATAGAGCAATACTAATAAAAAACATGACCAGAAGCATCATTAAGAAATATTTCCATACCAAAAATATTTCCTATGAATTATCTAAAATAACCACTTGCCTGCAGTATGCCTCCCTTGACTCTGTGACATCCTTTGGAAGAGATCATTGTTATGTCCATAATATCTATAGTTCTCATGTACACGATCACTTAGCTGATGCCTCCTTTGACCATCATAAAAATCATAGTAATAGCGGGCACCAGCATCTCCATTTTCTGTAACAGAGTTAGCTTCTGTTAAAAAGGACTGGGAGGAAGAACCATATTCCCGAGGGACATCAGCCGAATTTCTTGCAAGATAGGAAGGCGCAGATAGTCTGTTGCTTTCTCGCCTCAATATTTCATGAGGTGGCCTCTGAACTGGAGTTCTAAGGAAACTCTGGTTTCTAGAAGCAATTCCATCCCCTCCAGCAGAGTAGGCAGAAGAACTCGAGTCAGGAAGGCAGATATCAGTTCGCCTTGGAATGGTCGGACCATGACGGATAAATGAAGGCATCAGATCTGTAAGAGTAAAACATGGTAATTTAAACACAAACTTTGCTACAACAAATGTCCAAATAAGGTGCGAAATAGGTATGCTAATTGGTTGACCATAATGCTAAATTAGATTGTAGAAATCAGGAAATTCAAAGCTAAGGTTTTCACAGTAACATTAACTCAGCCATTTTAAACAAATATATAGTTAGAGTTCCAAATCCAGAAGGGACCATCAGATAAACTAGTCTGACCTTGGATATATCACAGGCCACCAACACATTACAGCCACATGCACACTAAATCCAACATACGGAATTATACCAAAGTATTAGAGCCCATAGGAGACTAAACTACTGTGTGCCACCAAGAGAGAATATGGGAGACCAGAGGGTACAAATGCTCAAGGCCTTAGCAATAGCAGGGAAATTGATTAAATGAGATCCTGGCAAATGACCTGTACCCCACACTGCAGAGGAAGGTAAAAAACCTCAAGGTCATTGCCAACCTGACTTGAGACAAAATTATTTCCACATCCCACATATGGTGATCCGTTAGACCCCTGGAGAACGTGAGTAAGAACCAGTCAGCCCAGCGCCTGAGGGAGATCTCAGTACCACCTCAGAGCACCGGCTCACCTTGCTTTTCATTTCTCTATCTCAAATATCACGAAAGAATCTCAAAGCATCTAGTATTAAGCCTCAAAACATCCATCTAAGGAACTTATCCCCATTTTACAGATTGAAAAATTGAGGCAAAGATAAGTTAATTAGCTTGTAAGCTCTTTAGAAGAGAGGCTTTTACTCTGTACAGTGACTAGCACAACAGCGTCTCTAGGTACAAATGCAACATACATAAATTATTTGTATTTCACTAGCTTCTAAAGACCCCAACTGAGACTGAAGCACCATATACACATATAGTAAGAGGCAGTTCTTGCCCAGAAGAGCTTGCCATCAAAATAGAGTTCATGTGACTTGTTCAAAGTCACACAGCAAATCAGTGGCAGAACAGAACTCAAATCTTTCAACTCCCAATCTAATGCCTTATCATGAGGTCTGCATTTCTGTACTTACAGTGACTGAGTACGTAAGTGAGTTTCCCACAGTCTCACAGGAAGTCTGTGGTACACACCCAGGAATAGAACCTATATTTTACTGTATCTATATAACATGGCCTAGCTAGCAATGCTGTAATTCTGAATGCTTAATTTCTCAACCTCAATGTTACATTAATGTATCATAGCATTTAATAGCTCAGCTTTAAGGAAACTGCCATAAGACATGAACATTAATTGCTAAACTAGTTCAGAATCTAAACCATTTTGTCTCTATCAAGTTAAACACCAACCCAGAGTGGTAGGCCTCACTCAGAAGGAAAAATATGCCAATGTATTCAATAACTGTTTCTAAAGTTTGTCTTTTAAATTACACCTCAATAGATGCAATGAACAAATAATTTGCCATAAGAAGTGCTATGACACTAGAGCACACAATGGCTTGTTATTTCACAACAAAACACTGAAAACATTTCTAATGTATAGACAACTTTAAACTTTTTACAAGTTTAAAAATATTATACCTTTTATTTTTAAATCTAGTTTGTCTCCTTTCTCACTGGGAAATACAGTAATACCATGCTATTACTTTATATCTTCAGCCATTTTTGAGCTGTACATGCAAGACTGGTTATCAGATTATTGTTACAGTGAGAATAGAATTTTTAAACCCTTTTTACTAAGATGGCTAAAATGAGTTAAGCAACAGAGGGTCCTGTGGCACCTTTAAGACTAACAGAAGTATTGGGAGCATAAGCTTTTGTGGGTAAGAACCTCACTTCTTCAGATGCAAGACATCTGAATGATTTAGTTCATAATTTACAGTATGATACTGAATTTGTGTAACAGTTTTTAAATTTTAAAACTAAAACACATTCCAAAACTCAAAGAGCACAACCTAAAGAGTTCAAAGTTCATTTCCCAAAAGTATGTTTTCAGCTCTTGCAGTTGCAAAGGTAACTGTTCAAACAACATGATGCACTGCTGTCACACTCCGGCTTTGTCTTTACCGCTAAAAAAAGATGTGTTTTTACCATAGGTTAACTAACTATATTAGCTAGCCTGCTGTAAAATCCTATTAGAGTTACGAGATCACTGACATGTGGGGAGTACAGTGTTGACCTTGCCTAGCTACCTCCTGGTAAAAAACTACACATGCCTTGTCTCTATTAGGATTTTACAGTGAGATAAGTATCACACATTAATCTTACCATAACCCCTCTCCTCCCCCCTGCTCTTTTGGCAATGAAGATATAGCCTTAGCTTGCAAAAAAGAACACTGACTTTAGGAGAGCTGCAAACTGCTCCAATTCATATGAACAAGTTATTAAAGGAACATTGTGAATTTAAATAAAAATCACACTCCTGTGTGAAGAAGATACTGTCTTCTATAACTGAACTAAGAGATTAGAGAAGTTTGTTTACAAAGTGCATTTGACAACACTTGTGTATAGACAGTTTCCCCTTTTCACATAGATCTTCCATACAGCAACAAGGAAAAGAACTCTTTCTTTTTTTTAATGGAGGGAAGAATATTTTAAAATCATCAAAAGCTGGCTAGTAGGGTTGACAATTTCCTGGGAAAAACTAGTTTAGGAGGACCACGTGTTAGTAAAAACTGGCTTAAACTGGCATTAAACAGGGAAAAAATAATTGCACCAGTGTCCAGCAAGCCTAGAACGAGTCTTTTCAAATGTTTGATATATCCATTGAAAACTGAGGAACAGTTGGTCTATCCACTACATCAAAGTTGGGCTTCTACAGAATTCTGCATGGCCAAATGGAACTAAACTGGTAGTCAAACTCTGCCTGCTTCGGATTGCTTAATGCTTCAAGCCCACATATCTGCATTACTGTCATTTTCATATAATCAAACGTTTGACTTTTGTTTATAAAATATTGAAGATTGATGACACACAACTTCCCTGAGAAAATACTAAACCAAAAAAGTACAGGTTTCAGAGTAA